TGCCCAGGCTGGTCTCGAACTTCTGGCCCCAAGTGATCCACCCACCTCGGCCTCTCCATGTGTTGGGATTACAACTTGAGCCACTGTGCCCAGCCCCAAGCTCCAAAATTTTTATGAAACTGCTTAAAACCTAAACAAAAGATGATTTTGAAGCATCAGAGGGCCTCTGGAATGGCCTTGCCCTGGGTGTTTTAAGCATTCAAGAAAGACTTGCGCCTTTCAGAGGTAGCTATGTTCTTTGGCTTGGTTTAATTCTGTTTTCAGAGACACTAGATGCAGAACAATTAGTAGATTAATTTGCTAAGCATAATGTTTCAGTGGCTGTGTGCTTAATTAGATGACATCAGTAGCAGACACTTTTTTGCCTAAATCACTTGATGCCAAAGTAGTGTTTAACCTGTCAGGTTTCGCCTCTCATACACTTGTTTGTGCATATTAGGATACCTACAGATATGTATGACTGGCATTGGAGAGCTGTCCTGTCCACTCGCTTCTCAGGGAATCTTCCCACTATTGCCCACTTGAGCCCTCTCCAGCTGCCTCTTTAAACACAACAGCAGAGTCCATTAGAATTAAGAGTGGGAGGGATTGAAAGAAGAGAGACACAGGAGTGTTGAGTGGTAGGTGCTTGAGCAAAAGGGTCAAGTAGAGTTGGGACTGGGGTGGCTATGTTGCACCATGTGCAAGAGAAGGAAGAAGAAAAAGCTGGTGTAGAGGAAGGATGGTATAGGCACACTGAGAAGCACTGATGCAAAATCATGTAGTAGCCAGGGACACGAGCGAAGTTTCCTTGAAGGCTGGCTTCCCTTTCCTAGTTCCAGCTGTCTGGAGGCCCTTGTTCCTTGCCCTAAAGTTTCTCTTCTTGAGAAACCTGTACCTTTACAATACACTGCCTTGACCTTTTTACTTGCAGGAATTTTAATAGGCCACTATCCCTTGAGACAATCACTATGACAAGCTCCTCTATCATTGTTTCACACTGAATATAGGCAAATCTTAAAGCAAAATCCAAATGAGATATGTTGAAACACCACTGTCTTCCTCACTGTGTAAGAAAGGAAGTGCCTTTCAGACCAGTCTGTATGGGCTTATTCTAAGTTATGAGCAGTACCCCACTGAACCCCAGGATCTTTCTCATAATGGCTTCTTATAAATCTGAAACATCAGTACCGCTGGAGCAGGCTGTGTAAGGACCAGCTATCTACCTCTGGCCTCTCTGTGCCTAGGTGAAGGAGTGTGCTCAGATGGGAGGTATATGAAGGGAGTTCGTTTCTGTTCTTCAGCTGTATCCTTCGGGGGCGGTTGGACTGCTGTCTAGAGGATGAACAGAGCTGGTTTCAGAAAAAGAATGTGTTTGGATGTCTGTCCCAACTTCCAGTGGGTAGAGGAGTACAGCTGCCTTGTGGTCATGAGGGTCCAGCTAAGGAGAACAGAGTGTGGCTGTGCATGCCACTTGCTATTACTCCAGAAACTGCAGGTACTGATGCATTTTCTGTTCTACCATCACTCTACCATAACCTGGACACACTGGAAGATCTGTGCTCATCTGTGCTGCAGTAGAGAAACCAAAAGAACAAGAAGGAATAGAATGACCCTAGAGTTGATATTTTTTTCTTACACTCATGTTGGTAGGTTAGAAGAGATGCTCTTTTATGATATGAGCACATGTCCTGTGTGTGTGTGTCCCCATGGATTGACACACACATCCTGCCACTGTCATTATTGTCATCCTCTCCAGAGGCATGAAATGGAGATAACCACTTTTGGAGCAGTGTGGTTCAGGTTGATGGAGAATTAATGAACGATGATGGTCTGACATCAGCATTGAGGACACAGATCACATTTGGGGTGATCTGCTATATGAATGCATTGTCCTCAGAGAACAAAGTTGTCGCATCTTTGCTGACACTTGTATATGGCCAGTTTTAGGACCTTTTGCTTTGGCTTGAGAGTCCAGCTTGTTGGAAAGGATTTTAGATAATTGTGAAGTCAAATCCTGCTTCAGAGTCTTTTATGAGATCACCTTAGACAGTGAATTCCCTCATCCTCCCCTTCCCCTGATCATTGTACTTCAGTGACCAACCCACTTCCCCAGAGTTCTGTGGAGATGTGATGATTCTCCACCTTGTTCCTAATTTAGACCTGGCTCTCTGCTCTCCTCCCTGCAGATAACCCTTCAATTATACTTCAGGCACAGGTCACTCACCTGGGTTGTGGTCTCGGAGCTCCAATCCAGACCCACCTGCCTCCTGACCATCCCTTAGAGACCCTACCTTCACTTGAAACCCCAAAGCCAAACTTGGTTGCACCTAAAGCTTTTCCATCCAGGTCAGTTGAGTCACCATTGTTCTAGTCTCTCAGGCAAGAAATTCGGACACTCCGAACTCTTCTCTCACTTCCTCACTATACCTGCTGTGACAGCAAGGCCTGCCTCCGCCTCCATACTCCCAGTGCTGTGCACAGCTACAGCTTGATCTCTGGATTCTCTGCTCTTAAACCTGTCATGGCCTTCCAAACCTGAAAATGCTCCCTGTGACTCTATGCCAGGCTTTAAGTCCCTTTACAAACTTGGTATGCCCTTTTCTCATCCTTATTCCTGGAAACCCCTCAAAATCTTCCCAGACTCAATAAATCTCTGCTATGGATTTTACCTCCAAACATCCCCTGCATTTCTAAATGATACTTTATGAATTACAACTTAGGGATGGGAAGTGTGACTCCAAGGTAACTGGACTAATTCTTTGGTGTTAGGTTCTAGTTATTGGCGTAGCCACATCTCTCATTAAATCATGAACTTTACCTACATGTCAATGTGCCCCGCACCTGACAATGCCTTCCTTGTCTGTGGTATAATTCCAAAACTGTCTTAAGAGTTGGGCGTCACCACCATGTGCTTTGTGATTCTTTCAGATGTGTTAGTTCTGTTAGCCAGCTAGATAAAAATATTTTTGAAGCAAAACCATACACTTCTGTTCCCTCCTGCTTCCTTGGCTGCTCAAGAAATACTTTGAGCGACTGACCACACAGAGTATAAATAATTTATGTGTTTTTTATATTTTGTCTTTGTTAATGCACATGCAAAATGTTTGTATTTTATAGGTGCTTATGTATATCAAATTATGAACGATTAGAATGCAAGGTCCAGCTCATGTTTCTCACCCTGTTTGTGCATTAGAATCACTGGAAGGACTCAAAAAACAAGCAAATAAGAAAAAATATATATGCCACTTATAGCTGGGCATCTCCCAGACCACTTTAATCAGGCTTAGGAATGTGGCCTGTCACTGATGTTAAAATATCCCCAGTGATTCTAATTTGCAGCCCAGAGTGAGAACCCCCAGAGCTGCTGGTTTAGTCCTTTAAAATTGTACTGTGGGATCTTTCAGGATAATTTTGGTCAGATCACAGTCACTTCATCCCCTAAAGCTAAACCTAAAGAACAACCAGACTAAATAAAATTCAAAAAGTAAAACTCAGTTTAAAAAATTCACTAGCATCCAGGCAATGGAAGGAGCTCCACCTTGTTTTTATGTCTTAAACTTCAAAGGATGACAGTCAAACAAAAAGACCAGATTTTCCTGGTAAGAAAGAAGAGCTCCTAATCCCACCGGCTAGAGGGGATTGGCAAGATGCAGAATACTCATTGAAATTTCAGGTTTTGGAAAGAAGTTGACTGGTGAATAGGGGCAGGATGAGTATCTTTATCTCTTCCTTCCTTTGAGTGGGGGTGTTGTAGGGTGTGGTGGGGGTGGGTTGGGGATGGAGTTTGCTGGGGAGAGATGGGTGAAACAGAGGACTGGAACTAGCTCATCCCTGAATTAAGAGACAAACCCACATTCCAAAGACTGTGTCCCCTGTACATACAGTAGATATGTCTTCTCTCCATTCAGAATTCACTCTGGTGCAGGACTTAATGCAAGTATCAGAAGACAGAGCAGAGTTCAGTCCTCCAGTAAAAGCCTCTACACAGCTCCTTCCTCCTCCATATAGACACAAAGACACGGACAGGCTGGGCTCATACTTGGCTGGTACACACTAATGTGGCTGTGCTGGTTATTAAAATATCAAAATACTTCCACACCACAATGGAAAGAATCACTTATCCAAGTGTCTCATGCTGTTCTGGCCACCCCAGCCCCTCTCACAAGAAGCCCCCCACTCCAGACCACCCTACAGACCAGCAACTACAGGAGTAACATGTGGCCTAGAGCTATGACCAACCTCTGTTCTGTCTGCTCAATGTCTGTGACATGTTGGTGCTTAAATATTTTCAGTGTTATCCATTCGGAAAGTATATAGAACACAAGCCTACAGGGCAAAAGAAATAGATGCCAAACAAGATGGGAAATATGTCAAGGAGAATACACCGACACTGTATGAAGGCAAATACCTGGTCTTAACAGAGCTGCTCACCTTAAAGATGAGCAAATGTACGGAAGACGGCCTGGCAACTATGTGAGTATGCTACAGCCAGAAAGGGGATGGGGCGGAGTGGGAAACAGATGAAACCAATATGGAGAAACAGCTAGCCCAAGAAACAAAAGTTCCCACAGGTGTGTTGTGCTCGCAGAGAACTTAGAAAACATGAACTCAATAAAATAAGCACTCAGGAACTGGTGAAACAACAGAATGACATAAAAAGGCAGATGGCAGAGATAAGAAAACTTGCCTAAAATAATATAGAACAAATAAATATATTAGAAATAGCAAAAAACATGGTTGAAAATGGAATTGATAACAGAAGAAAAGACTTGAAATGATGCAGAGAATGAAGAATTTTAAAAACAGGGATTCAAGTAATTCCTGAAAGGATAAACGTAGGAGTATCGAGATATTCTGACATAAGAGTAACTGATGACCAAAAATAAAAAGGAACTATAAAAGTATCTGGAGATAAAATACAAAAGATTTTTCCTGAAACGAAGGAAGGAATCTTTAGATTAAAAGAGTGCACTATGTTGTAGGAAATCCAACAGAAAACACTTGACACCAAAACATACCCTGATGAAGATCCTGAACTTCAAGAATGAAGAAACAATTCCTCACCATTCAGGCAGAAAAAGCAAGTCACCAAGGGACCTCAAACTTCCTTTCCACAAGATTCTGTGACAGGAAACAATGGAGGAGTATTTCCAAAGTTCTGAGTAGGAAAAAAGAATGACTCAAATGTATTATTGCCAACCAAGTCGTCAAATCTAATGTCAAGTTAACAGAACACAACACCAATGGCCTTCTTAAGGAAACCATTTGATAGGAAAGATGAACCAAATAACTCAATGATGGATGAGCTGGTAGAAAAAAAACTGGTGGTGAACCAAGATCAAACTGGAAATTATAGTCACAGTTAGATACAGATTATAAATAGTACAAACCCTAAGATAGCTAATAAATTGGGAATGGGAGGAGGGAGGATATAAGAGCACTCATACCCTCTTATTTTCATAGCAGAGACTTGCTACTGTCTAAACGTTTTTCAAAAACACATAATTTCTTAAATTTTTTGGTAATCTTTTAAAAAAACAGATTTCTAAAAAGAAATATGTATTGTTCCAGTTCACTTTAGTTTCTCAAATACAACCCAATTAGCTGAATGCTATTTATTTAAAAATAAATGTGATAAGAAATAAATTAAAAATAAATATGATTCTACGTTTATAAAAATTCCTCAGCCAGGCATGGTGGCTCACACCTGTAATCCCAGTGCTTTGGCAGGCCAAGGCAGGAGGATCGCTTGAGCCCAGGAGTTTGAGACCAGTCTGGGCAACAGAGCAAGACCCCTTCTCTACAAAAAAAATCTTTAAAAATTAGCCAGGCATGATGGTGCATGCCTGTAGTTCCACTACAGGAGAGTGAGGTGGGAAGATCACTTGAGCCCAGGAGTTCAAGGCTGCAGGCCACTGCCCTCCAGCCCAGGCAATACAGCAAGACCCTATCTCTAAATATATATTTCCTCTATCTCTCTGTGTAGAGACAAATCAAGAATTATATTCACCTAAAGTGGATTACCATTATTTTTAGGTGGGTGTTGATTTTGTTTTACTCTTTTTTTTTTTTTTGTACTTTACTATATTGCTTGACTTTTGTTTGATACCCGTGATATCTTTTTATTTTTTAATGGAGGATGGGAGGTGTTATTCTAGAAACAAGGTTAAAAATCATTGTAGAATGTGGTGGGCCCCTGGCAGGTGCTGCTCCTTATAATGACATTTGCTTCATAACTCCTATCAAGGTTCTTTAAAATTTCTAGCTTTATCTCACCACCTTTTTTTTTTTCACTGATATTTTTTCTCACAAGTTGCTATTCCTTTATCCACATGAAGCTATTGCTCATCCAAATATTCTATTTTATACAACTCATTAAGTGTTGGGACATTCTTTTGGGGCTAAAAGGAAAGACTGAATGCCAGTATGATACCTAGGGACTGGACTTGCCCAGTGCATCTGAAATAAATGGAAAATCAGGAAAAAAAGCCATTTGGAGTGGTTGACAGTCATCTTACAAGAAGCCAGAAAGACTCTTAGCAACATGGGGATTTTGCACATGAATTGGCTGCAGTTTATGAAAGGAGCTGAAAGATTTCTTTCTTTGTGCTTCTGTGAGTTTGGAAATGAAATGTCAGTCCTTTCTCTGCCCAAGTGAAATTGCTGGGCCATAGAACTTTAATTCAGGATTAGCTTATGCTGATCAAACCCAGCCATCCAGAGATGGCAGATGAGAGAATGGAGCAGTAAACTTTATTCTACATGCATTTGTTTTAAGGACCATTCAGCCTTATGTTCATAGAAGCCCCATGGAAACCCTATAATCTCTTGTGGCATGTGTGTGAGCAACTAAGGACCCTCTCTCTGTGTGTTACACAAGACTTTTATAAAATCCCAAATCCTCAACTTGATTAGCATGAAGAGATGATCACAGGAGTGTGGAGCTGGAAGACGCCTTCATTCATAGTGAGAGTCATTGCAAAAGATTGTTATAAGGATCAAGTTGGGAATTGTGCACAGTGTCTAGCACCGGGCAAGAGCTACAAAAATGGTGGTGGTAATAATAGTCGTTGTTATTGTTTGAAAGGGAAGTATGGCTCCATCATGCCTGGAGTTTACCTGGCGGAATAAGCCTTTCCTTATTTGGTCCACTTGTCCCTGCCCTCACAGAAGATTCACTGCTGCCCCTAGTCTCCCCGCTTTGCACTGTGTGTCATGGCATCTTCAAGAAGAAGACCCTCATCTAATCATGTCTGTATGTGAATGTGGCACTACCTCTTCCTTGCCTGAGCCCCGGAGCCAGCTGCAGTGCTTCACAGCTGTATCCCAGTTGGAGGATTCCAGAATGGCTAACTGAGCATTAGGGTGCACCTGACACTCTCCATAGGACCCCACTCTCCATACTCCAGAGGACATCTATTTTTCTGCCTTCATCTCCTTCCCTTATTCTGGAGCACACTCTTATTCCTTTGAATGAACTGCATTCTCCACTCTGAGCTCTGGTTGGGCTGCCGGTCACAGTTCCCAGGCCTCTGGCCACAGCAGGGGCATATGATCCAGAATAGGCCCATCATGGGACTTCCCTGGGACTATGTATTTAGAGACTGGGAGAGAGGATCCCTTTCCCCTACGGTTAAAGTGAGATTGAGAGAAAGAGGATAGGGATATGACATTGAGTCCTGAATCGAATCATGCCTGGGGCCACCTCCATGCTTGCTTTTTCTGGTTATGTAAGTCAATAAGTCCCACTTTATTTAAAGCTCGTTGGAATTAGGATTCTATCACTTGTAACCAAAAGAAGCCTGGTAAGTTTTCAAATAAGTCCAAGACATGCCTTTGGTCAGGTTATCAGGTTTTCTCTCAATGCTTTCCTCCTCTGCATAACATATGGGCATGTTATTTTATAGTGGGGTTAACAGAAGAAAATTGAGAAACATGCCTAAACTGGGGCCAACTGGGGTCCAATTTCAGTTATAACTATTTGGTCTGCTGCAACATCAGGACACTGGGCTGTTAGCTTTTACTTCTTTCCTAAATTACAATAATAATTATGAATACTTGTGTACTACCAACCACTGTGTGAAAAACTTCATATAGGTTCTCACTTAACCCTAAGAGTAGCTGTGAAGTGGACACTATTATTAACCCCAATTATAGGGGAGAAGAAGAAATGTTGCTTGTCTTGCTCAAGGTCGGTGAGAAAGCATGTGGGCAGTAGGACTGTGAGCCCAGACAGGCTGCCCCTAAGCCCACAGCCTTACTACTATGTGGCTATGTCCTGTGATATAAGACAGAGCAGAGGCTGGAATCAGACTGGGAGTCAAATCCCAGCACTGCCACACCCTCACCGTGGGATTTTGAGCATGTTAACATCTCTGGATTCACTTTCTCCTCTGTATACTGAGATAAAGAGATTACACAACCCTGCTCATAAGATTCTTGCAAGGATTAAATGAGGCAAGGGATGTAAATCACCTGGCATGTTGCCTTACTCTCCTGGACAGCCAAAAGTTTGGTGTTTTCGTCGTGACCCACTTCCAAGTTTCCTAAGCTCAGCTGCCTGCCGCATCCATGGGTACTCAGCTCCAAGCAGCTCCTCTGCTTCCTTCTCATCTTCCTGGGTGTGAGCATGGAAACCATGTTGGACTTGGAATGGTCAGATTGGACTCCAGTGCTGCCCTTGCAGTTTACAGTCTGGGTCACCTTGGACAAATCCTTTAACCCCTTGATCCTTTGTTTCCTAGTCAGTAAGGCTGAGATGGTGTTGTTATGAGGATTAGCTGAGATGACACATTGCTAGCATATAGCACTGTGCCTGGCGCATGGCTAGTACTAGTTATGATAATGGAATGGTTAGGGGACGTATGTATCTGTTTCTGACGGGTAGCTAATTCCTTTTCAGCTCACTCTAACTGTACCTAGACAAAAAGGAAATTACATTATCAGAAGGGACATCTTTAGACTGTTCATAAATGTCATCACTCATATTTAATGTCTTTTTCTTTTAAGTTCCTTTTAGTTCTTTGATTTAATCTGCTAAATATTAGGGATTGATAGGAGAGCAAGTTTCTACTTTTTTTTTTTTTTTTTTTTTCCAGATGGAGTCTTGCTCTTGTTGCCCAGGCTGGAGTGCAGTGGCGCAATCTCGGCTCACTGCAACCTCCACCTCTCGAGTTCAAGCAATTCTTCTGCTTCAGCCTCCTGAGTAGCTGGGATTATAGGTGCCCGCCACCACACCCGGCTAATTTTTTGTATTTTTAATAGAGCTGGGGTTTCATCATGTTGGCCAGGCTGGTCTCGAACTCCTGACCTCAGGCAATCCATCTGCCTCAGCCTCCCAAATTGCTGGGATTACAGGCGTGAGCCACCATGCCCAGCCTTTTCTTTCTTTCTTTTTACAATTTCTTACAAGTTTTTATTTTTATAAAGTACTTAAAATATCTCAAATTTCAGAAAACAAGATATTTAATCACATATCCAAACAGAATTCTCTAATATAGCCCCTTATCAATTCCCTGCCTCCAAATCTCTCATGAGGAGACCTGTCATTGGATTTAGAGCCCACTCTAATTCAGTATGACCCCATCTTGACTACATCTGTAAAGATCCTATTTCCAAATAAGGTCACATTCACAGGTACCAGAGATTAGGATTTAAATATATGTTTTGGGACTGGGCACTGTGTGTGTATGGTGGTGTACACTTGTGGTCCCAGCTACTCAGGAAGCTGAGGCAGAAGAATCGCTTGAACCTAGGAGGTGGAGGTTGCAGTGAGCAGAGATCATGCCATTGCACTCCAGCCTGGGCAGCAGAGTGAGACTGTGTCTCAAAAAAATTAATTAATTAATGAAATGAATCTTTTAGAGGAACACAATTCAAATAATAATACTAGATATCATTATACCTAAGAATATGATAGTATTTTCTCCCCAAGATTAAGGAACAAGTAAGGATATCTGTTGTCACCATAACCACTTCTATTCATTATTGAAGTTGAGGTCATAGCCAGAACAGTAAGTCAAGAAGAGACAATAAAAGGCATACAGATTGAAAAGGAAGAAATAAAAACTACTTGCAAATGATGTATATAAAAAAACCTAAG